TGAGTTCTTTATACATTCTGGATATTAGCCCTCTGTCAGATATAGGGTTGGTGAAAATCCTTTCCCAGCCTGTAGGCTGTTGTTTTGTTCTGATGACAGTGTCCTTTGCTTTGCAGAAGCTTTTCAGTTTCATGAGGTCCCATTTATTGATTGTTGATCTTAGAGCCTGTGCTGTTGGTGTTATGTTCAGAATGTTGTCTCCTATGATATATATTCACTTATATGTGGATATTACACACATAATATAGGATAAACCTACTAAAATCTGTACACCTAAAGAAGATAAGCAAGAAGGAGGACCCTGAGTAAGATGATCAATTTTCATTTGGAAAGGCAAATAGGATAGACATCAGAAGAGGGAGAAAACAGGGAACAGGACAGGAGCCCATCACAGAGAGCATCTGAAAGACTCTACCCAGCAGTGTATCAAAGCAGATGCTGAGGCTCATAGCCATACTTTGGACAGTGCGCAGGGATTCTTATGAAAGAAGGGAAAGATGAAAGACCTGGAGGGGACAGGAGCTCCACAAGGAGAGCAACAGAACCAAAAAATCTGGGCACAGGGGTCTTTCCTGAGACTGATACTCCAACCAAGGACCATGCATGGGGATAACCTAGATCCCCTGCACAGATGTAGTCCATGGCAGCTCAGTCTCCAAGTGTGTTCCCCAGTAAAGGGAACAGGGACTATATCTGACATGAACTCAGTGGCTGGATCTTGAACATCTCCCTCTGAGGAGGGAGCAGCCTTACCAGGCCACAGAAGAAGACAATGTAACCAGTCCTGATGAGACCTGATAGGCTAGGGTCAGATGGAAGAGGAGGAGGACCTTCCCCATCAGTGGACTGGGGGAGGGGCATGGAAGGAGAAGAGGGAGAGAGGGTGGGATTGGGAGGGGATGGGGATGGGGCTACAGCTGGGATACAAAGTAAATAAAGTGTAATAAATTAATTATTAATTAATTTTTTAATTAAAAAAATCATACAATTTGCAGGCAAATTGATGAAACTAGAAAAGAGCACCCTGAATCAGGTAACCCAGACCCAGATAGACACACATAGAATCCAGCATAACTAAGAGGCTTCATCCAGCAGCTGATGGAAACAGATGCAGAGACTCAAAGCCAAACAAAAGGAGGAGCTTAGGGAGTTTTGTCAAAGAGGGAGAGGAAGGGTTGAGAGAGACAGAGAGGTCAAGGAGCTGTAAACAAGTACAAAACAGCTTCAGTTCTCATCCTAAGAGAGAGAAGTAAGTAAGGGAAGGCTGATTTCTTAGGCTATGATATCTGGTCTCTAGTGACTAGTATCTTAAGGTGACAGGCCCATAATCTAGCAATATATATCTATAATATATCTGGTAATGGTTACACATAGGAAGAAGAACATAAGTATTGGAGAACTAAAACCTTCTATTTAAAAAAACCTTAAGAACTCAAATACTTTTAATAAGGAAACAATTGGCCTCTAACTTTGTTGCATTGTCTTTTTCTTCCAGGATTCAGATGATCTCGGAACCATTACCAACCACTATCACATATCGTTATATAGTGACAGTGGAACAAAATTCCAAATTAAGTTCTTTATTCATGACATAGCTGAGGTTATGTGACTGTGATTATCAGAAAGCTGTCATTGTCAGTCTCCTCAGAGACCAGGCCTCAGCTGAGCAGGGAGCTTCCTCTAGCACTGTATCCATTATATCACAATGCTTATTAATTGGCTTGGTTTACACATCTCCCTCCGATAGTTTATTTATATGAAATTATTTTATTTTAATTGTTTATCCACATGTTTTTAGAATTCCCTGTCAAGGGAGAAAAACCTTTTTAAAAGGAAGTGCTTAGTCTTTAACTTATAACCTGAACATCACTTATATACAATAATATAGAGAAAGTAGACATTATGCTCCATGGTAAAAACAGTATGCTCTTTTACTTTAAAGTCATAATGTATTGCAGAAACAGTCATTATTTTCATTTCCATCCACCATAACACTGGAAATAATAATATTACAGAGAAATGCATTAGACTATTTAAGAACAATCATCCTGTCTTTTTTGCAATGTTATATGGTGGTACATATAGAAATATAAAAAATAAAATTCTGTTTAGTTTTGTACATTTTAGTAATTTCTAGAATCAGTAATTGAAATTATCAAAATCTATGCATTTAAATCAATATATGAAGAGCAACAAGCTAGTGAAAATTATTAAAATTTAAATTGTAAATATTAAAATAGAATAAAAGATATGAAATGCTTAGAATAAAAGCATAATTTCATTTCAAAACAAGACAATAATATCTGTTTTCACCACTTACATTGAACATTTTACCACAGAATATAGTATTTTGATTTGAAGCCTCCTTTCCAACTAGCCCCATAAAATTGTTGTCACTTGATCTTCAAATATGCCTACATAAAGATATCAAAGACAACCGAGAGAAAAATAGTTCTTTCATAAATGATGTTAAAAACAACTTAATGTCTTCAAAAAATATAACTATCTCATTCTATATACTAATATAACTATATCATTCTACATATAATAATTGATTTGAAATTGATCAAAGATCTGATTATAAGGAAATAACCATAATGCTTCCAAGTGAAAACATGAAAGTATCTTTGAGACTTGCTAGTAGGTAGAATTAAACATAACAAAGCACTCATAGTAAAAAAAAAAAAAAAAAAAAAAAAGAATTGATACATTGACTATTAAAACTAAAATACCTATCACCAAAAGACAAAATAATCATTAATGGACAAGCCACAGACTCGAACAATAACTGCATTATGTATTTCTGGAAAAACGTGCATCCAAATTAATTTTTTGAAACGTAAATCAACTTTCTTAAGACTAACACTGAGTTACAGAAAACTCAGTTAACAAATTGTTTGCCGTAAAACCACAAGAACCTGATTCCAATGCCCAAAGATGGCTCACATCCCAGTTCGAAAGAAGCGGAGACAGGTAGCTCCTGAGGCCTCCTGGCCAGGCAGTCTAACCTATCAGTGAATTCCAGGCCAAGAAAGAGACTCCAACTCAGCAAACAAGGTGGACAATGCCTGAATAATGACACCTGATGTAGATCTCTGGCCTCCATATGCATTTACATCTACACACAGGGACCCCCATGCATGAGCGTGCGCGCGCACACACACACACACACACACACACACACACACAAATACTAACACTGGTTTAGGAAGGAAAAATAACTGAATAGACACTTCACAGAGGACAATATCCAAACAGCTGAAAAAAATGTAAGAACTCTCCACCACCACTGTTTCTCCAGGAAACTTTATGAAAATGCTTATAGTGCTATTTCACTGCCCAGCTAGCAGAGTGCTAAAGTGAGAAATACCGAAAATAACAAATGTTCACATAGAAAAGAGAGATCCTTTTCTAAAAGCTGTTAGTGAAAGCAAAACTAGTTTAATACTTTGTAAGATCATTTGGTGGTATTTAGAAGTCCTATGACCCAGAAACCCCACATATGTGCATTCCCAAGAGAAATCAGTACACTGCAGACAAAATACTTTTTTGCTAATTTTCATAGAAACTTTATTAATAATATGTAGATTATAGAAACAAATATCTACTGAGATAATAAGTGAGTAAAATTGTGTATTCAGACAACAGAGTACATACTAAAGAGCAATACCCAAGAAAAATATATTACAATGGCATTCACAGTGAAAGTAGCCAGCACTCAAAAAAATAATGTGGTAGGCTATGGATGCTTCTCAACGCTAGTATGTGCATGACCTTTGGCTCCAGCACTGAAAACATAAAATATGCTGTTTCACACTTAATATGTAGCTCCAGGCTAAGCAAAATGAGCCTGCCAGGGTCAGAGTGAGAAGAGCAGGCACTTTCAGGAAAAGAATGAATTTACAGGGAAAGAGCAGACCAGAACATTCTGAAATGACGACAATGTCTGCTCTAGGTGTAAGCGATGCTGTGCCGCTTTATATACTGAGGGGAAAATCCATTAAACACTTGTTATTCATCTACTCCACTGTATAAGGTCACACTTCGGTTTTAAAGAGAACGGACCCCAATTGGGAGATCATTGAAAGAAAAACAGTGCCAACATAGGTTTGTGGGAAAGGAACCTGTATTCCCTTCTTGGTGGGAAGGTAAATTGGTCTAGATACCATGAAAATAACATACAAGTTCCTTGAAAACTAAAATTAGAATTACTATATGATCCACGTATACCACTTCAAGGTACAGACATAAAGGAATCAAAGTCTTCACACAACAGAGACTACACATACATGTCTCTTACAATTCACAACAGCCAAGTTATAGAACCATCTTTCACACCTATCAACAGATGGATGGATATAGGAAATCTGGTCTCTAAGGCCCTGTACGCCACTTGAGGGGGCACAGGTGCCTGGCTCCAGGTTCCATTGTTCCCGTTCATTCTCATACCCTAAGTGTCATAAAAACTTTTTTTCTTGACCTAATTTTTTACCACTATTAGGCTTGCAAAAAAGGTTTTCTAAAAATAAATCATCACTGAAAATGCAATCAGATTTGTTTAAGGGGAAACATCGGTGGCAAGCTTAAAGAGGTGAAACTTGCCATGGAAAGGGTGGAACAAGAAAACGGGGCTGAAAGAAAACAGAATAAATGTTATTGGAATTTAAGGGCCTACAGTTCAGTGCCAGCTCAAGAATGAGGAGCATGGATCTGTAACTACCCTGTAAAGCCTTCAGAGATTCCCAGTGCACAGCACCTTATATGAATAGGTAACATTAGGTTACTTCTTACACATATTTTATCATTATGAAAACAATTTGTACAAAGTAAAAAATAATCAAGACAGCTGGCTGGGCAAATTTAAATATCCTCAAGAACAAGATTTTAAGTTTTCCTGTTAGCATAATGTCAGAAGCACTGACTTTTATTTCCTTTACTGAAAAATAATAGATTAAGAAAAACATCACAATAAAGCTTTGAGTGTTATTTCTAAAGCACTTTTAAGAGAAATTTTTTCTGCTCAAGGTTCTCTTCAGAGCCACTTTGACATCCTTGTTCCTTAGGCTATAGATGAGTGGATTAAGCATGGGCACCACAGCAGTATAGAAAACAGAGGATACTTTTCCCTGATCCAGAGGCAAACTGGAAGGTGGTTTGAGGTACATGAAAGCCCCTGACCCAAAAAAGAGAGACACTACAATAATATGGGAAGTGCAGGTACTAAAAGCTTTCGATCTGCCTTCTTTGGAACTGATGTGGAGAATGCTAGAGATGATAAAACCGTAAGATATAAAAATGGTGACAATGGGCACTCCAATGCCAATGGTTACAACAATAAAAACCACCAACAAATTGATATAAGAGCTATTACAGGACAGCTCAAGGAGGGGAATGATGTCACACATATAGTGGTTAATGATGTTGTCAGCACAGAACGTTATAAACCGTATGTTTCCCATGTGGGCCACAGCCCCAAAAACTCCCATCCCATAGACACCCGACAGAAGGTACGCACATACTTGGGGAGACATGGTGACCCTATACAACAACGGTTTACAGATGGCAACATAGCGGTCATACGCCATTGCTGACAGGATGTAGGACTCAGAAAAGACAAAAAAACAGAAAAAGAAAAATTGAGTCATGCACCCTGCGTAGGAAATTATATTCTCCCTCAAAACAAACCCCACCAGCATTTTAGGGGTGAGTGTGGTGGAGTAACTAAAATCTATGAAGGACAAGTTGAGGAGGAAAAAGTACATGGGAATGTGCAGGTGAGAGTTCATCCCTATCAGAGTGATCAAGCCCAGGTTCCCCACCACGGTCACCATGTAGAAACCTAGAAAGAGGGTGAAGAGGGGTATCTGGAGCGCAGGCTGCTCTGTTAACCCCACGAGGATGAACTCTGTCACCGAGGAGGTGTTCTCTGCAGCCATTCTCTCCTTGAAGTGTCTGTGAGGGTAAAAAAAAGAGTCATTTAGAGAAAGGGGGAGTAGTTACACACCACAGAAGAAAATGGAAGCCAAAGGAGGGGGGAAAGCAAAAGAACGAAAACACTTACTGACGCTAACTGTGGGGCAGACACTTTCTATATGTTCGCTGGGGCTTCAGTTATCCCAATTTTATAAGTGAGGACCTTACGAAACTAGCATGAAGTCAAAATGCTACAGAGTCGCTAAAGCCGGGGAATTACGACCAGCTGGATCCTGAGCACAGCGCTTCTAATGGTAGGGAGACACTCACAGGTTCAGCGTGGATACTCACTCTCCTGCCTCCCATCCACCTCCTTGGTGAGATGAATGATCTAGAAGAAAGGAAACTGACAGCATGCAGGACAGACTGCTCTACTTCTGCTTCTCCACATTTAGGATCAAAATGTCTAGTTGATCTTGGTTCTCATGCAGAACTGGATGTAGAGGTGGTTCTCTGTGCGTTTGCTGTAAGACTCCTGGACAGTTACCAACGAAGTCTTAGCCTCTTTCCTCAGCACTGTGAACAACAGGAAACGGCGGCTTTTGTTGGAAATCTCAGTGAGCTCATCTCAGAGGCTCCCACAGGAACATTGCCCCAGGGTCTGCCTTTCTAAGGAAATGTTCATTACACCCCTGATAATGCTTTATGTGGCTTTTAATGAAGGTCTTCCTTAAACTACATCTTTTTTTTTTTTTTAACATGATTAAAGACAGAGCATTAGGGGGGAAATGATTCTTACTAGTATAGAGAACCTACTATTTACCAAGCATTGTACAATGTGCAATGTACAACAGCAAAATTCTGCCTTATTTATTACTTATTCCCACGTACTTTTTCCTCCGCAACTTGTCCTTCATAGATTTCAGTTACTCCGCCACACTCACCCCTAAAATTCTGCCTTATTATGACTTACGTAGACCTAACATGTTGATACACTTGTTAGGTAGCTGTGGTGATCATACAATGATTATATATTCCAAAGCATCATGTGTACATATCAAATATATGCTATGACATCCAGTGATTCAGAAATCTATTCATTTATAGATGAGAAGGCTCACTTCAGAATTTGGAGTCCACTCTGATCTCTCCAACTTCAAAATCCACAGTCTTAATCATTGCCTACACTGTCTCCCTGTAGGTGGTCACAGTTCTTTAAAGCACTTTCTTTAATTACGAGGATCTAGAGGCTCCAGATACATATTTTTAAGACAGCCATTTTAAAGGAGTGTGAAAAGTGCTAGAGGCAGAAATAGTCAAATCAAAGGCAATCAGATATTAGACAAGAAGAGTACCATTTTACTCATGTGATAAAAATCCTTGACCAAGCTAAAATGTAAAGAAGCTTTTTGTATCATCCTATTATCTGCTCAGGCAGATTAATTTAGGTGATTGAAACAAATTGGCTGCCATATACTTATCGTTAATGTCTGAAAGGCCAGGCATTGTTCCTAAGTCTAGCAATAGGGAACTGATGACTTTGACCAAGAATGGCATTGCACATCTGCTGTGTCCCAGAAATTCTTCTAAGCCAATTTACAGGAAGAATAATAAATTGTGTATCATAGGGCATTTTTCAAGGTCATATATACATACATATGAAATGCTGGGGGGAAACATGAAGAAGAAAAGTGTAAACCACTCAGAGATGTAGAAAGGGGAGAAACATTACAGTTTTAACTGCCATCTGAACACAAGATTTGAGAAGTATTTGGGGCAAGCAATGACTCAGTTACCATACCAGCATCCACTGCTTGATACAAGACTGTCTCCAAGACATCAAATTTTGCCATGAAACTTAAATGCAATCAGTTAACTCAGAACAGTGGCTCTAACGAAGAAATTTTTTGATGTAGTTGTGGGCCTTCCTGCTCAGATGGAAGGGTTTCCAGGGACTTGGGAGCCCAGGAAACAAGCAGATCTGAGAAAAGGCCTCCTCGGCAGAGGTGTTTGAGGCTTCAAGGGGAGGGTATCCCCCCAGTTGAACTGAAGAGCTCAGGAGCCTCAGCCCCACTTTTCCCCTTCTTTTCTTCATTGCTTCTTCAGCAAATCTCATAAAATAAATTTATTGGGAGGGTCCAGGGTATGGAGGGACAAATCCAGGGTTGGCTTTCCCTGTTCCTGGGAGAGGACGGCAGGAAACTGAGCAGACATGGCCTTTATGTAAGATTTCTTAGGGGGTAGAGCTTTCTAGGGCAAAGATTTCCAGAGTGAGGATTGGTAGGATTTTAAGTCCTGAGCTTGGGGGAGCTTAGGGATTGTTGGGTTTTCCTATTCATGGATTGGTGGGTTTTCATATTCAGTGATTGATGGGGTTTTGTTCAGTCTTTTTACCTAAAATTACCATAATCTTGGAAGGGTCCTCCTAAGGGGCTGGAGATGGCCTGGTGACAGTTACAGAGGCTGGAAATGCTATTATGACACTTAGGTCTAAGGAAGGGACCTGGCTGCTGCAACTCCTTATGCAGGAACCTGGCCACTTTCCTCCCTAAGGGTTTACAAACTATGCAAAGCTTACAAAGGGAGTCCACTGGAGGAAAAGGCCTCGTGAGTCAGCCTAAACAGCCAATAGCAGTAACCGGACTGAGAGTCGGAGACCTTGCTGGGTATTTAGGACAATCAGGAGCCAAGTCTATATAGGTCACTGACCAAGACTAAAACAAGTTCTGCTCAGGCTGTATGTAGAAACTTATATTCTACATCCCTTACCAGAAAGTAAGGATAATGGATATCATAGTCAAGAAATAACTTCTATTTGAGGAAACTGAAGCTTGGGTTATCAAATTGTTTATACGATTTTAGCCAGAGTGAAGGTTAGAGACTTCTTGAAATTGTCTTACACTTTTAACACAAAAGTCCATCTCCCTCCAGCCAAGCCTTACCTCATACACCATACATATAAATAGCATGTATGTGTTCTGTGGTGAGTGTACATACATTAATGAGGATTTACTAACTCTCGCTCAGTCTCAGCCATAATGGTGTCTCGTTGGACAGCTAACATAACTGTCCACATTTCAGATTGACATGAATAACTGATCTCTTCTGCTCTCAATCCCACTACACACACGTAAGGAATATGGACTATCAAACAATTATAAAAATTCTGATCTCCCACAAGACAAGCATTCTTGGAGACTGCTGAGGGTGGGAGAAGAAGACCTTAGGGATTCATTAAATGTTTTCTTGTTTCTGGGAGCTTTGGAGAGTTCTATATGCATGATGTAACAACCAGGGAAAGTTCTTTTGAGGTTTTTAATAGTTCACAAATGGTTTCCATGGGAACTTCATTTCAATGCATCAAAGTCTTATTTCAAGTGAACCAGGGCTTCTCTCATCTTTTTGCTGATACCTTGCTGCAATATAATGAGAGTGAAGCAAGGAAATAATGTCCTTGATTAAATTATCTGCTACAAAACTATCTCTCTTCCAAAAACTTGAAACTCTGTAGAATAGCTTCTTTGATTGATTTACTATAAATGGAAAATTACATGTGAGACATGGACTATAACAAGCTCATCAGGGCAAACATATGTGCAATAGAGAACTTTTATACATATGGAGTATGCATTAGCCTCCCCGAGTCTGGCAGGCCATCAAATAGCATGTGGTTGTACAAAAGGCAACTCTTACACAAGAGAAATCCAAGCTAAAATTTCAACACACCAAACAGCCTGTCCAGAGAAAGAATAACAGTTGAAATGTCCTTATCCAAAGTGAGTTCAACTGGACACTTAGCATGTGCATAGATTAATGTCATCTCCAAAAAGTCTTATGCTTACTAACATTAATTAAAATGTGTACATTTATCATGTCAAATGCTAAGTAAAAAATTCAAAAAAAAATGACTTGTTTTCTAAAGGTTTATAATCTGATAGAGCATCGTCCATCTGTTTCCTCCTCCTTTTATTCACCTTTTGTGTTCCAAAACTCCCAGGCTTCCAGTCTCAATGATCTGTGACTTTTCTTCTCTACACATTTAATAGTCTCATCCTATGACTTTAAAAATATTCCCTGCTGCTCCAGCAAGGGAAGCAGATAGACAAACTATAGATCTTTACCTACCCCTCCTCTTCTCGGAATTCCCACCCAACCCGATGATCATCCCTAACTTAACAGCACACTACCTGCTAAGACCTCTCAGTGCTGCCCCCAACTCCAGTGAATCACACAGACCTTCCCCACTTCTCTTCCCTTCCCCAGCTCATTGATTTATTATGGGACTGAACCTCAGCAAGCACTCCCTGGGAACCCACAGGCAACACTGGGAAAACAGGTAAGATAACTACAGGTTCTCACCTCTCCCTCTGCTCCTCCAAATTCAATCCTCCTGTCTCATTCCCAGCTTTGTATCAGACCACCTTCTCTTGCAGCCTCCCATTTCTCCCACCAATAGATTACAAAGTTCTACCCCTCCAAACTTCCTTCCCTGACCCCATTGTTTATCCCAGCCCTCAACTTCAACAGGCATTCCTTGGGAATCCTCACTTTCTGCCTACATTCTCAGGAGGATAAGCAGACCCTATTTTCCTCCCTCCTGTAGAAACACCCACTACCAACTTCCTGGCCTAACTCCTTCTGAAGTATCAGTTCCCAATACCTGGACATACATTTTACCTAGTGTCTTCTTTAGGGTTTTATTGCTGTAAAGAGACACCATAGCCATGCAACTCTTATAAAGGAAAACATTTAATTGGGGCTGGTTTACAGTTTTAGGGGTTTAGTCTGTTATCATCAGAGCAAGAAGCATGCAACATGCAGGCAGATATGGTACTGGAGAAGGAGTTGAGAATTCTACATCTTATTCCTCAGGAAACAGTAGGAGACTGTGTGCCACACTGAGCATAACTTAAGCATATGGAGACCTCAAAGTCCAACCCTGCAATGACACAGTTCCTCTGAACAAGGGCACACCTCCTAACAGTGCCACTCCCTAGGGGCCAAGCATTCAAGCACATGAGTGGCA